AGCATTATTTAAAATGGCCTGAACAGAAATAAAATTACTTTTTATATGTAGGATCCTTTTATATATCGAAAATCAAATTAAATAAATAATATAAAGTAAAATAAATAAAAGAAGAAAAAATAAAATATTTTAAAAATTGACCACAGCCGGGATTCGAACCCACCCACTCTTTCCGGGCGAGAGCCACTAGCACATGGTCTTAACCGTTGGACCACGCTTATACTGGGATCGCACTACTACATAGCTTCAACTTCGCTCTAGCTGCTAGCTAAACAAAAGACTTAAGGGACCACTGCTGCCCCCCTAATTTATCTATAAAAATATCCTTTGATAGGGTGGTCCAGCTCATAGAGGCCTATTTTGCGTCCGAGTCTGAAAATTATAGCTTAATATTAAAGGGAGTTAGTCGGTCTTGAAATTTCAACATTTTTCCCGCCATTTTATTTTATTTTATTTTTCATTTCATTATGCGTTCTTTCACAGAGAAAGACAATTGATTTTATGCATAGACCAACTTTGGTATGTTAAGTATCGTGAAAATATTTGAAAACAAGCTTAAAAAAATAATATAATATAAATAAACTGTATTTTCGTGATTTTTCCAGCTTTTAAGCATTATTTAAAATTTCCTGAACAAAAATAAATTACTTTTTATATATAGGATCCTTTTATATATCGAAAATCAAATTAAATAAGTAATATAATGTAAAATAAATAAAAGAAGAAAAAATAAAATATTTTAAAAATTGTCCACAGCCGGGATTCGAACCCACCCACTCGTTCCGGGCGAAAGTCACTAGCACATGGTCTTAACCGTTGGACCACGCTTATACTGGGATCGTGCTACTACATAGCTTCAAGTTCGCTCTAGCTGCTAGCTAAACAAAAGACTTCAGGGGCCACTACTGCCCCCCTAATTTATCTATAAAAATATCCTTTGATAGGATGGTCCAGCTCATAGAGGCCTATTTTGCGTCCGAGTTTGAAAATTATAGCTTAATATTAAAGGGAGCTAGTAGGTCTTGAAATTTCAACATTTTTCCCGCCATTTTATTTTATTTTATTTTTTATTTCATTATGCGTTCTTTCACAGAGAAAGACAATTGATTTTATGCATAGACCAACTTTGGTATGCTAAAGTATCGTGAAAATATTTGAGAACAAACTTAAAAAAATAATATAATATAAATAAACTGTATTTTCGTGATTTTTCCAGCTTTTAAGCATTATTTAAAATTTCCTGAACAAAAAAAAATTACTTTTTATATATAGGATCCTTTTATATATCGAAAATCAAATTAAATAAATAATATAATGAAAAATAAATAAAAGAAGAAAAAAAATAAAATATTTTAAAAATTGATCACAGCCGGGATTCGAACCCACCCACTCGTTCCAGGAGAAAGTCACTAGCACATGGTCTTAACCGTTGGACCACGCTTATACTGGGATCGTGCTACTACATAGCTTCAAGTTCGCTCTATCTGCTAGCTAAACAAAAGACTTAAGGGTCCATTACTGCCCCCCTAATTTATCTATAAAAATATCCTTTGATAGGGTGGTCCAAATCATAGAGGCCTATTTTCATCCGAGTTTGAAAATTATAGCTTAATATTAAAGGGAGTCAGTCGGTCTTGAAATTTCAACATTTTACCCGCCATTTTATTTTATTTTATTTTTCATTTCATTATGCGCTCTTTCACAGAGAAAGACAATTGATTTTATGCATAGACCAACTTTGGTATGCTAAAGTATCGTGAAAATATTTGAAAACAAGCTTAAAAAAATAATATAATATAAATAAACTGTATTTTCGTGATTTTTCCAGCTTTTAAGCATTATTTAATATTTCCTGAACAAAAAAAATTACTTTTGATATATAGGATCCTTCTATATATCGAAAATCAAATTAAATAAATAATGTAATGTAAAATAAATAAAAGAAGAAAAAATAAAATATTTTAAAAATTGACCACAGCCACCCACTCGTTCCGGGCGAAAGTCACTAGCACATGGTCTTAACCGTTGGACCACTCTTATACTGGGATCGTGCTACTACATAGCTTCAAGTTCGCTCTAGCTGCTAGCTAAACAAAAGACTTAAGGGGCCACTACTGCCCCCCTAATTTATCTATAAAAATATCCTTTGATAGGGTGGTCCAGCTCATAGAGGCCTATTTTGCGTCNTATATATATATCCTATATATATTCCTATCCTATATATATTTCCTACATATTTCCTATCCTATATATATATATATACATATAAGAGTGTGTTAATTAACTCTACAATGAAGATATTCGAAGTCAATATTCTTTATTATAACAAGAGCCTATGTCGCCCTTAATATTTGTCAACATTTTTTTTTCAAATTTCCAAGACGCTTTGTTTTAGTAATATGTTCAATGTAGTGTTTATTTCCATATAGCTTCCTAACTTCATAGTTTTTAATCTTTTGAAAATTACGACATCATCTTATTCTCGTATGACTCTGCACACGTTATTGGTGAAGGCAAGCGAAGTATTGCCATAGGTAAGGAGTTCTGTTCTTCGCCTCCTTTGTGCCGCAGTGGACTGAAAGTAAAGACACGGTTCTCAGTAGAACACCGAAGTCAAGCCTAACTGGCTGCGGTGAATAAGTGTGTAGGTGACTAATCTGATTAGTTTGAGAAGGGACCGAGGGTGCACGGTATCGGTTCCCGTAAAGCTGTTCTGCCGCAAAGTATTCAATTTCGCGCTGGTCGCCGGTCTATCAAAGCAGGTTAGCCATCCCCTCTGCTTAGGATAAAAATTGCAATGGCATGTCTTCGTATCTTCCTCATGTATGTTTCCCAGACCGTTGCCAATAGCACATCGTGCAGCTCTAGTGCGATGTAAATAAAGTACCTACCTACCTACGCCACCTGTAGCTACTACGTCTCCATGAAAGTTCTAAGCTTGTTTTAAATCGCACAGACATGCGCAGCAGCAAGCTTACTTACCAAAACAAACAATCTGAAGTCTTTGTGATTCAAGATTTTATGTATTATTTAGTCTTTCTGAAATGAATTTAAGACATTGTCTCTTCTTATAAATATTGTTCGGAATTTGGATAAGTGCTCCTACTTTTAATGATGTAGCTGATGAAGATCAGGTTGAGTTTAAATTTTTTTGTATTCTGTGATCAGCATGTGGGTATGGAACTGTTTTTCTGATATTTCTTTTAATGATGGTATCTCAGTGATTTTTATTAAATCATTTGACTTTAATATAAAATCTAATTATATTATTAATTTGATTTCATATTAAAGTCGAAGAAATGTGAATCGGTTGTAACAATTGTAACGAACCTTACTGCTATATTTTTTTTTATAGTAAATGATATAGTTTCACGTCAAATGACACTCATATCTTTTTAGTGGTGTGTCAAAATTTTTTATAAAACTATCGATTTTCGCTGAATTTTGCGTTAATTCATTAAAATTAAGTGCATAAATTATTAAAATTAATTTTTTAAAAAAACTGGGTTTTTAAACAAAAAATATTGTGATGGATCTATTTTGAAGACAAAATATTGGTGTAGAATAACTTGGAGATATTTTCATATTGGTGTCTGTTTGGTGCTAGTCAGTGCCCTTAAGTTTTTCTCAGCAGTGAAAAAAATTGTCGGCTTTTTCTTTTGTAAACAATTAGTTATAATCATGCATCTAATGTATAGTTGCTTGTAAATAGTACATGGGTTATTCTTCCCTACAAATTGGCTATTTTCAGGTAGGAACAACAGCAAAAAATTGTCAGAAATTAATAATTTTCTGTAATAAGTTAAAGGATAAGGTACTAAACAAGAAAAATAGCAGTCTCAGTTAATATTAAAAAAATGCTTTCATTATTTTAAGTTTTTATTTAAGTGAGTTTATGATAACATGGTAAGAGAATAATAATTTTAGTCATAAATATGTTTAAAATGATAGTTTAATGAACATGTTTAAGTATCCTTAATTGCTTTTTTAATCATATATTATACATTACTGACAAGTATTAACTATAAAATATATATATTATTTATATCAGCTATAAGTAGTAAACATGAAAATAAATTATGGGCTGCTAATTTTTGACAGGTTTTCATTATTTTCCTCTTTTTTTTTGCTACTAAAGACCTACTCTTTATCATATTATGGTAAAACTGGTTATTAAAATTTAACCTTAACCATATAATTCCAAATGTTATTTGAGTGTTCCAGCTATTGAAAAAGCGTTTGATTCCAAAAAGATCAGTTTTAGAAAACAATTCTAAGGGTAGAAATATATTACTGAATTAAAAAATTAAATAACTTTTTTCTGCCCATTATTGATATTTATAATTTTATTCTTTAGTATCCAGATCTTTGTAGCTATTTGAATAGTTTTTAGGGCAATATTTGAGAGAAGAATTCAGAGGAAGGATTTCTGGCTTATTTAGAAGATGTGATTGGCTGTTGCAAATTATGACGTCATGAAGCAAAGGAATCTTGTAGAGTTGCTGTTGATTGGGAGTTTTCTTTAAAGAATAATTGCTGCGTGTGGGCAGCTCCAAATATATCTTAATGAGTAAATATCTGTCTGATTTTTTCATTGCAGGTCCACATATAAGAAAAACAAGTACCAGACGTTCACAGACACATTTGATAGGGAAAACGCTGATGCATAGACAATCAAAATAACAGACAAAACTACAAGAGCTCTACACTCTTTAAAATCATAAAGCCATCTACCGGTTCAAGGTTATTGCCTACAAATATAAGCATAATTCAGAGTAAAAAATAAAACCACCGTTCACACATGGTGTTATTTTTCTGAAATTACAAATGATTATATGATAGTGTTTTCTATAAAGAAGTATTAAAATAGACTCAAATTAAATTCTCATTTAAAATGTATTCTTGAAAGTATTTTTTCTCATTGAAATGAAAAGATTTTGTTTATAATTATTATTACAATTGCATCTCATTATTTTTACTTTCTATAAATTATTATTTATTTTTTTTATAATGTTTTATGGTACTTTAACATTAATTTTGGTCCCATCTGTTTAAAAAAAAAAAAATTTTTTTTATGGATAATATAATTGTTTTTAAAGCAAGATGAAGCTTTTTTTTAAAAAAAATCATGAATGTGGCATAAGTATTAAAAAGCACTGTAGTGTAAAAATAAACGATTGGTATTAATTTCTTTGAACTCACTAATTCTATTAAATTGTTTCAACGATTAACCACTGCATGTTATGAGAAATAATGTAAACTAGAAGTAAGTAAAAAGTTTTTCAAAACTGAAATTGGAACCATTACATTAATGAATAAAAATTTACACATTGCTTATTTGAAACATTTTAAATTTTAATTCAAAACTTAATTTAGTTTGCATGGAATGCCAAATTTTCTCTTCTCACTAACATTACACTTATTGTTTTGGGTTTGTACATTTTTCCTGCATTTATATTTTGTTTTGAAAAATTACTTAAGAGAATGCCATATTCTTAAGGAAACTTTTCATTGAAAGTTCTCTTTCATCTCCATAACTAATTTAAAGTGAAGAAAAAGTGAGTTCAGACAAATCTAAAGTAAGCAATCAAGTTTAAATCGCTAAAAACTTTTTCTTCCTAAATTTCGAAATGCTAACAAATTTTTGGAAGTAACCATTGCGTAATCAAAAGTTATCTTCTCATAATTTATTTTCATTTTGATACTTTTAATACTTTATTACCAGTATTTGAAACTTTATGGCTTACTCTAGGTTTGTCTAAACTCACTTTTTCTTTAGTTTAAAATAGTTATTAAGGTGAAAGGGAATTTGCAACAAAAAGTTTCCCACGTGGTATGGTCTCCTCTTAAGCATAATTTTGCATTTAATAGTATAAATATAACTCTTGATCTTCTGTCAGTGCTTATAATTGTTTAGATCAGAGCTTAATGTTGCCTTCTACGTTTAATCAGAAGTATACACACATAACATTTAAGTAGTATTTACATATGCAATTACTCGTAAGAAGATATTTAGACTAAAAATTTCTTTACAATGACTATTTAATGAACATAATATAGCTTTAATTATGGTAAATTAAGAAAATATTTTTGAAGAAATTATCTGGATAAAAAAGCACCGGATTCAAACCAATTATTTTCCGCTAAATTTGTATTTCTACTTATCAAATTCATTCCTGATAGCTTTTAAAGTTTTAACCCATGTCAGTGATCAATTTGATTGTCATTCATTTTATTGATGCTGAATCTTTTTTTTCAGATGCAGAATATACTTTAAACTCTCCTTATAATGGTTCTACAAAATGAGAGTGAACTACTTATTCACACATTTTGCGAAAAGCTTACAAAACCACCTTCCTCAAAAATGGCTGCAGTTTGCCTGAAAGTGTAAGTTTTATTTTAGTGCTGAGCTCTGAAAATGTCTGGATATGTTTATGAATCTGAATGTTTATGTATCGATGTACCTTAAAAAAAGTTTTTGTTACAAATTTAGTGTGAAGGAGGATCTTGACCAGGGGTCTGTCCAGACATTTTGTGAAAGGTCCGGTTTTCGTGAAATTGTGATAAAATTACTCACATTCTTTCAACCAGGGTCCGCTGTTATGAATTCGTGCAAATAGGGTCCTGTTATAGCAAAAATCTTTTTCAAGAAGTTTTTAAATTGTAAATCGATACAAGATTATGCTCGGAACTGTAAAATTATAATTAAAAAAATTAAATTTTCAAAAATAAATAGCAATTGCTGCTCCTAAATTAGAGATGCAACATACAAATATTTGGTATTTAGCCTATACTGCTGAATGCAGAATATTCATTTTGGACGAATAATGGAAGAATCGTCTGCCGAAGACAAAACTTAATTCGTTTACATCCATCCTTCTTGTTTTTTGCCCTGGAATGGTTTATTCGATAAACAAAACAATAATGAAGATAAACAAATTTGTGAAGGGTCCGATTAAAAGAAAAATCATTTTGTGAAGGGTCCGTTTTTAAATTAAAATATTTTGTGAAGGGTCAGTTTTTATGAAAAGATATTGTGAAGGGTCCATAATGGACCCAAATTTCTTCTAAACAGACACCTGTTGACTCATACTTCTACAGTTTGTTTCTATAGTTGTGCCATTCCTGGTTTTAAAGCCTGCTTATTTGATCTAAGTTTTTCGATGAAAATTGTTTGAAATTGAGGAAAACTTGTTTTGTTTGGAACTTGGATCATGTAAACAATCATTCAAGTCCTTGGAAGACAGTAGAGCATGTTCTACTTTCCATATTCCTCTCTTAACCAATCAGCTTCTAAAGTTTATGACATCAACAAGCAGGCATCAGATTATGCCATTTTGTTGTCCGTTTTCATAAATTTATTCTATTTGTGTTGTTAAGATTTTCTTTGAATTTATTTAGCAATTTTATATTGTTCAGCGTTGCTCTTGCGCAAATTTTTCATCCGACCAATCAGTGACATTCAAGAACTTGGATAGTGTCAGCGAATCATCCAATTTCTTGAAGATAGAAATTCTTCCAAGTTCTCAAATTCAAGAACCTTGTAAGCAGGCCTTAACATCTGGTCATTTTGTCAAATGTCTTGTTAGTATGTGGTTTTGACTAAATGAGACCAGCTTTTGTTTTTTATGAGATAATATCTATCATATATAAATATATCATATAACTAATCTATCATAGAATAATTTTCATATAATAATATATTATATAAAAAAATGCAGTTAGTGTGAAAGTAAAAAATTTTTTCAAATGGAATAAACACAAAAGAAAAACATACGATTTAATTTAATTACAACCATTTCTATTTGCAAAAACTTTAAAATAAAACTCTTGTGAATACGAATCGCAATGTTTGATTTTTAAATCACGTGAATATGAATTGCACTGCTTGAATTGTAAATTAACTGTATACGAATCAGGCTGTTAGAATTTTAAATATGCATAACAACATTCATGGTGACAGGCAAATTTGATTGAACTCAGGGTGGCAAACAAATGAAATGCAATTCTGTATATTCGTAAAAACAGGCCTATTCCACTTCTCTCTATCAATACTTTTGTTTCATATTTTGTAATCTGTCAACTTAGTTACCAAAATACTTTTAAATCATTTTTGCATGATGTCGGTAAGTGCACGAGCGTTGATTCTTGTTCCTCACTTATATGCTCCTATTTATGTTTTATTTTGTGTCCTATTTTCCTTGAATTTTTGTTTTATTTTATATTCATTCTTAAAATTTTGTATTTTTTTTCCGATGTGTTATATTTTGTACTTTTTCTTGAATTTTTGTTTTATTTTGTATTTATTCTTAAAGTTTTGTGTGTTTTGAATGCTCGATATGTTTTGTTTTGTAATTTTCTTAAAAGTTTCAAGTTTTTTTGCTCCATATGCTTTGTTTTTTAATTTGTTTATTTTCTTTCTTTTTTTTATATAACATTAGAGAGTGCTATTTTGCGAATATAATTGTGTGAACTGACGACAAGATTATATATTTTTGTTGTTTAGTTTTCTAACCTTTTTATTTAAATTTTAAAAATTTTAATTATTTTTTCATGAGAATTTTTTTTTGTTCTTTTAAAAAAAAATTTCTTTTTTAATTTCTTACCTAGTTTTCTTAGTATTTTCATCTTATATATATGTATCTATGTTTATATGCATA